GGAAAGCAGAAAGCTCGAAGAGCACGCTTTGAATAAAGATGAGCCAAAAGGGCCTCCGGGGTGAGAGCTGGCAGCTCCGTGTCCTATGAAATTATCATCTAATAATCAGGACATTAAATTGTCAACACTGGCCTGGCAGTGCCACACCTGTGTGATGAGCAGGCAGGCAACGTGGCTGCAGGATCTGTTGTGCCCCACCATGAAGGGGCAATCCCAGCCCAGGCAAAGGAGTTGTGATAGCCATAAAGTTGGGCTCAGAACCTTCAACGGCTTCCCATTGCCTACAGAATCAAGCCCAGACTTTTCAGGGGGGCAGCTAAGGCCTTCTGTGGTCTGGCCCTAATCTGGCCTTCCAGATCTCTTAAATCTAAGGATCAGTAGACAGCTCCCTAGCACACCTGACTTTTCTGCCCTGGCCTCTGATGCTGTGGTGCCCTTATCTTAAAATTCCCTACTACACACACACACACACACACACACACACACAGAGCCCAGCTTCACCTTTACTGGAATACAGTCTTTTGGCCCCAAAGACTACCTTGTCAGCCCTGACCACCTCTCTGCCACCACCCTGTGCCCCTCCCTCTTCCAGCACACATCTGCATCCCCCATCTGACTGGGAGATACAGTTCAGTAGCAGTGACAGCTTCACTCCTCTGTGTGGCAGAGCCCAATTCAGAGAAGGAGGTCTGTGAGTGTTTGTTCAATTGAGCAAACTGCCCCGGAAGCAGACCAGGCCTGAGCTGGGAGGAGGTCAACGCCAACCTTTGGGGAGGTCAACTGCCTTCCCCGCTGGCCAAGCCTTCTGACCACCTCTTTGCACCTCATTTACCTACACCATTCCCAGCATGAACACAGCGTCTACCCCTCCTGCCTCTCACTCTTGCAGAACCTGCTTCCAGAAGCCTTCCTGGAAGCTTCAGTCCCCTGGATTCTCTCCCTGCCCTTCAGATCCTTCACAGTCACCTGAACTTTTTATCTTTTTTACGAAACCTGATAGGCCCACAGCCTTTCCACCTCAGCTACTAATGACTTCATCCTTCCAGCTTCACAGGCCATAAACCTTTTTGTTATGCCTGACCCCTCTCTTTCTCTTATACCCCACATCCAATCCACTAGGAAATCTCATCAACTCTATCTCTGAAATACATCCCGAGTCTGACTTCCCACCACCTCTGTTGCCACCTGGCCCGGCTGCCATCATCTCTGCCTGGATCTCTGTACCAGCCTCTTCTCAGTCTCTTGCCCGCCTTCTCGCTGTCTATTCTCAGCATAGCAGTCAAGGCCCCTATTTAAACATCGCTGCTCATCTCAAACCCTGCGGTTTCTTCCCAATGCATGGAAAGTAAAAGCCAAAGTTCTCGCAGTGGCTTACAAGGCCCTCTCTCCAAGGTCTGGGCCTATTACCTCTCTGACTTGTCTCTTGTTGCACCCCCACTCCCATTCCACTTGCTTTAACCACATTGGCACACACTTGAAAACCTCAGGGACCCCTGCCTCAGGGACTTTGCACTGATTGTTTCTTCTGTGCGGAATACTCTTCCTGCAGTTAGTTACATGGCTTGCTCATTCCTCTCCTTCAAGTCTTTGCTCATTCCTCTCCTTCAAGTCTTTGCTCATGGAGGCCTACCCTTACTACCTTTGTAACCTGCCCCTCCCCCACGCTCCAGCTCTCCCTTATTCTATTTTTCCACAATATGTACCAAGTTCTAATATTCACCTATTTATTATGTTTATGCACAAAAATACACGATCCACAAGGGCAAAATTTTTGTCTCTTTTCACTAATGAATACTCAGCTCTAGACCACTGCCCAGCACATAATAATATTATTGAGTGGCTGAATGTCCTTATGAGGTGATCAGCCAGACGAGAGCCCCTGGGGGTGGGTGGGGTTCTCCTTTGTCTGCTGTCCAGCTGCACTCCCAGGTCTCAGTACACGGCAGGTCTGAGAGCTAGAGAGACAGGCAAGATGGAGGTGAGCTTGGGCCACTATATTCTCTGTGTGTGGTTTCTTGCTGCTGGGCTAAGACCAGAGTGAGGACAGAGATGGGTCAGGGCACCCCTGAATTCCCTATAATCAGTTCAGGGCCTGGCACCGATACGCCCTTGTTGAGCACATGCACAAATACCTATACCCCACAAAGGATCTGGTGGTATCTGCCTATGTGAGCACAGACTTCATTATTAAGCAAAGGCTGGGATTCCAAAGTCCTTTCTTTTGAAAAAGGATTAACTTTGAGGTTGGAAATCCCATGGCACCAGTTGGCTCATAAGCAGAAGGAAGGGTGGGTTTTCTCCTGAGGCTTTGATGGCATAGGCCTCTTGGCCTTGCCTTCTCTACCCAAGTCTCTTCCTGCTCTGGCATTCAGGTGATACTGAAATGTTTGATTTCTGAGTGCCCGTCCGCGATGGAGAGAGAGACCCTGGCCCAGCTCTGGCCCTGTAATCCTGAATCCAGACAAAAAGGCCCTCTGGGTTCAGCTGTGGAGAGGAGGCATTAGGTCAGGGCAGGGGAAGGGACAAGACCCAGCCTCTCCTTCCGGCCTCCTGAGCCCAGCCAACTGCTGCTCCGCAGGA